ACAGAAACTTCTCCAGAGAAGACATCCAAACGGCCAACAGACACACGAAAAGATGCTCAACATCGCTCATCATCAGGGAAACGCAAATCAAACCTACCATGAGATATCACCTCACGCCCGGCAGAATGGCTAAAACCAAGAACACAAGAAACAACAAGTGTTGGCGAGGATGCTGAGAAAAAAGAATCCTCACGCGCCGCTCGTAGGAATGCGAACTGGTGCAGCCGCTCTGGAAAACAGTGTGGAGGTTCCTCAACAAATCAAATACAGAACTACCCTATGACCCAGGAATCACACTACCGGGTATTTACTCAAAACATTCACTTGGGGCGCCTGGGTGGCTCAGTCGGTTAAGCGGCCGACTTCAGCTCAGGTCACGATCTCGCGGTCTGGGAGTTCGAGCCCCGCGTCAGGCTCTGGGCTGATGGCCCAGAGCCTGGAGCCTGTTTCCGATTCTGTGTCTCCCTCTCTCTCTGCCCCTCCCCTGTTCATGCTCTGTCTCTCTCTGTCTCAAAATAAATAAATAAAAACATTAAAAAAAATTAAAAAAAAAAAAAACATTCACTACCTCAAAAGGATGCGTGCTCCCCTACGTTCATAGTAGCATAATTTGCAACAGCCAAACTATGGAGGCAGACGAAATATGCGTGAATGGAGACGCCATATGTATACACAAAAGAATATTATTCAGCCATAGAAAAGAATGACATCTGCCTTTTGTAACAACAGGATGGAACTAGAGTATAATGCTAAATGAAAAAACTCAGAGAAAGACAAATACCATATGACTTCGCTAGTATGTGGAATTAAAGAAGCAAACAAACAAAAACCCAAATGAGCAAAGGGGGGAAAAAGAGAGACAAAGAAACAGACTTCAGACTCTTAACTACAGAAAATAGACCGACAGCTACCAGAAGGGTGTGGAGGGGGGATGAATATAAAGAAGTGATGAGCATCGGGCATTGTATGGAATTGTTGAACCACCACATTGGACACCTGAAACTAATATAACTCTGTGTGTTAACTATACTAGGATTTAAAATTAAATTAAAAAAATTTTAGGGGCGCCTGGGCGGCTCAGTCTGTTAAGTGTCCGACTTCGGCTCAGGTCATGATCTCACAGTCCATGAGTTCCAGCCCCGCATCGGGCTCTGTGCTGACAGCTCAGAGCCTGGAGCCTGCTTCAGATTCTGTGTCTCCCTCTCTCTGTCCCTCCCCGGCTCCCACTCTGTCTCTCTCAAAAATAAACATTAAAAACAAAACAAAACTTCAAAACAATCAGTAGATATGGACTTGGTGTCTTGATTCCCCTCCAACCCCTTTTCCTCAATTCTATCACCCTACATGATCGCCCTTCCTTTCCATCTCCTTCGTTTCCTTTCACAACCAAATTTGAAAAGACCTCATGTGTTGGGAGAGTAAAGGCAAAAGGTGACACAGAGAGGCAAAAATGGCTTTGATGAGATGTAAAAGTTAAATTTATCAGCAGCTGCTGCCTCTATGTCCCAAAACTCTGCATAAAGAGCCATCAACTAGATTTCAGGCAGAGGCTATTCCTCAGCAATTTCAAAGTCCATGTTCCTTTTTCTTTTAAAAACGATTTTTAACACGTATTTATTTTTGAGAAGGAGAGACAGTCGGACCGACTGAGCCACCCAGGTGCCCCATCCATGTTCCTTTTTCTATCTTCAACTGCTACAAAATAGGTCTTTAAGTTCATTTCTTTTGCGAGAGCGAGCGAGCGTGCGCAGGGAAGGGGCGGAGAGAGGGGGACTGGGAATCCCACGCAGGCCCTGTGCCTACACTGCAGGCCGTCCAACCGTGAGATCGTGACCTGAGCCGAACCAGAGTGGGCCGCTCAACCCACCGAGCCACCCCGGAGCCCCCAACCGCTAAAAAATACAAAAGACGCAACACCCGCTGATCCGTGTGCAGGAATAGGCTAACTCCTATCACGAAAGGCGGAAAACCACTAGAATTTCAACACAAACCTTAGCATAGAAACGGGACTGAAAAATAAGTATACTGATTCGGCGAACACAGCCAACAATGCACTTCCTTCATTAAAACGTAGCAAAGCAGAATCTAGAGTCGGCTCTCCACACCCCTTGTCAAAAGGCACGAAGACGACGTAGAGAACAACGGAAGTCACGGTCGAGGTCCGCGAGGGGAAGCAGAGCGCCGGCGAAGGCACCCGCGCCGCTCACCTGCCGTCCCGCCGCCGCCTGGTCCCGGGGAGCCGGGCACTCGCCGCAACCGCCGGCCCTGCTTGCGTCCGCGCGGTAAACCGCGCTCACGTCCTTCTCAGCAGGTGAACCGAGGTGGTGACTGCTAGTTCTAAACTGTCTCAAAGTAAAAGCCTGCAAGCTAGTTTAAAAAGAAAAAGAAAGAAAAAAAAAAGAAACCCAAGCAGCCGCGGCGGCAGCCTCTCCTGGGCCGCCCGGACGCCGCGCTCTCCCGGCCCCCGGGCCCACGTCGCCCGGAGCGCCCACAGGACGCGGGGACGCGGAGGCCGGGGGGGGGGGGGGGGGGGGGGTGGGGGGGGTAGGGGCCTGCGTCGCCCGGAGCTCCCGCAGGACGCAGGGACGCGGAAGCCTGCGCCCGGCAGCGTCCGCAGGCTCCGGAAGCGGCCGTCGCGCCCACGTCGGGGAAGCGCTGCGCGCCTGGCTCGCCGCCGACGGAGGCCGGGAAGGGCCGCAGCGCGTCGGCACGCGGGGCGCGTGAGAACCAGGGGCCCGCGCTGCACGCTGGCACGTGCGCGCCGCGTGAGGCGCACGTTTCTGGGGCGGGGCTTCCGTGAGTCGAGTAGCTTGCAGTGAGCACCGGTCCTCCCAATGATCACTCTTCCCTTCTGACTTGAGCTCCCCACGGGACATCCCAGACGTTTCTGGTTCCACATTCACTTCTTGAAAAGACGCAAGGTAATCACTGTCAGACGGTCGGCATTTAACGTGTTGTTCGTTGGCTACCTGCGGACGGCAGATCAGAACCCCTCCCTGCAGGTGCCGGTAGCTTGAGTGAAAATTAAGAGCAATTAAGGAACGGAACCTCTCTCCGGCTCTTCTTCGTCGCCCGGATCTGGACACCGTGTCTTCCAACAACCGGCCCTCTCCGAGTCCCAAAACCACTGCCCTTACAGTCCAGCCTCCCACCTCGTTTCTGACTGCCCTCTCTCTCATTTCCAGACCATCCTGTCTCCTCTCCAGAATTAGTCCTTCCCCCTGAAACCACACCTGATTAGCACGATCAGTAACCTCCTGTAGTTCCCTTATTAAACCCAAACACGATGTAGGACCCCAGGGTGCCATCATCGAGGTACCCAGTTCTAAGTCAAGCTTCTCATTTGCACTTCATTGAACTTCCTGCCACAGTCCAGTTCATCTACTGCGACAAACAGGGCTTTCCCATCTCTATGCCTTTCCTTACGGCTCTTTCTCCAGACCTTGCCAGGGGCCAGCTTAAGAGGCCCAGTCCTGGTCCTTGGTAAGTTATGTAACATCTGTAAACTTCAATTTTTTTCATCCCATTATGTAAGCAATTAAAGGACTCAAATATGTGAAAAGATCTTTTCTTCTAGCACCCAGTTATTATGTGATTATCCAAGTATTCTGTGCTTTGCTCCTTCTAACCCCACTCCACCCCTACCCTTCTGAGCCTCCGCTATGAACTATTCACTGGGGAACCTACTATATGCTAGGTGCTGTGGAGAATATATTGGTTTTCATTTTTTTTGTTATCAAATGTATTGTATAATTACATGCAGACCAATGGAGAAATGCATCTTAAATCTATTAGGAAAGGTTTGTTTTCCTTGAAGAATGGACTTTTTTTTTTTCTTTCCAAATACTAAGTAAGCAAATGCTCTATTCACTTTACTCATGTTAGTTGCTAGAATGCTCAGTGTGTATCCCTATCTGGATGACTCAAGCATGCCCAAAGTTGTCCTGATCTTGGTCTTCCAGGCTTTCTCCTTTCCCTAATGCTGATTTGTATGTGTGTTTGTTTTGCCTTCTTTTTTTTTTTTAATTTTTTTTTAACGTTTATTTATTTTTGAGACAGAGAGAGACAGAGCATGAACGGGGGAGGGGCAGAGAGAGGGAGACACGGAACCTGAAACAGGCTCCAGGCTCTGAGCGGTCAGCACAGAGCCCAACGCGGGGCTCGAACTCACGGAGTGTGAGATCGTGACCTGAGCCGAAGTCGGCCGCTTAACCGACTGGGCCACCCAAGCACCCCGTGTGTTTGTTTTTCTATTTTACCATATGTTGTAAGCTATCTTGAGTCCATAATAGAGTTGTAATATAATAGACGGCTCTTGACTATTACTGAGGTTAGAAGAAATGTCTCCTAATCTAATGGATGGTGATCCCAGGCTTCCATTTCTGGTAATGGATTTACAGACCCTGCAGGGGATGAAATGAAAGGCTACAGGCCAACGTGAAGCAGTAGAATGATAACAATTAGCATTTATTGAGCGCTTACTTTGCCAGCCACTGTTTTCATCACTTTGCATGAATAAACTCATTTCATTTGTTCCTTACAACAGTCCCACAAGATGGAAAGCCAAGACGCCAGCATCCCAGAGCTCTAAAGGACACTTAGTCCCAAGAGTGAATTTACATAATTCAAAGTAGGACAAAAAGGACCAAAATATTTATGAGGTCATCTCACCAGTCAAAAGACTAAAGACACTGCACTATTAAATTAAACCCTCCTGGTCTAGATTAAAACGAGAGTGCAGACCTGCATTGTACCATGTGTTAGATGGGGCTTCTAAGAGATTTAAGACAATTTCTAACTTCAAAAGTTTATGGAAAAAAAGCACCTGAAAGGATCTGAGAACAGAATAAGAAAGTGTGTAATGTAGGAAAATACACGCAAACCATCACTGCAAAGGACTTCTTTTTTAATGTTTATTTTTGAGAGAGAGTGTGAGTGGGGGAGGGGCAGAGAGAGAGAGACACAATCTGAAGCACACTTCAGACTCTGAGCTGTCAGCACAGAGCCGGACACGGGTCTCAAGCTCACGAACCACGAGATCATGACCTGAGCCGAAGTCAGACACTCAACCGACTGAGCCACCCAGGCGCCCCTTCTGCAAAGGACTTCTCAGGTGGGGAACTAAAAGTGTCAGTGGGGGCAGACTTGAGTGTGGATAGGATTTCCAGAGACACAAGGAAAAAAGCAGGAAGTGTAAAAGGGTGCCACAGAATAGTTTGAAAAGAAGCCAAGTGTGAACAGAGGGTGTGGTAGGGACAAAGGACAGGTCTGCCCACGGATACCGGGCAGTAATGGAAAATAAGGAAATGGACCTAACTGTGGAAGGCCTTGAAGTTACAGTTTGACCTTTTTCCCAGGGACAATGAGAACTGTGGACTCTTCAGACAAGGTGATTGTTTAGTCAGGCATCGAGTTGGAGACAGGGAGACAAGGGCAATGGTGTTTACTCTCACAATCTGGGCCCAAACTCCTGAGGCCCCAGCAGCAGCAGTTAAGAACAGAGAGAGAAATCAACTCGTAAGCCATTTCAGATAAAACCTAGCCAACTGATTACCTGGGATAAGGTGGGCAATAATCACAGGGCACTTAGGGACTGCTCAGCACTTTGGATGCTTTAAAGGGATCTAAAGAAAGGTTTGTGTCTTCAAGAAGCTTACAACCTCATTGAATAACCTCAAGTATTATGGCCCGATGAGATGAGACTATTCTGGTCTAATTCTTGCCCAAAGTTATAGAGCTCATCACTGTTAATCAGAGAACGTTGGGAGGTAGGGAAAGTGTGGATCAGCACACAATCATGGATCCCAGCAGAAGCGCAAATGTTAAGGCCTAAGAGTGGCCAAAAGTGACAATTCTGCAAATGTCAAGTAGGAAAAAGACTAAGAAATAGGCACTGAATTTGTAGAGATCAGCTCTACAGGATCAGTGAGCATTAGGGCCAGAGGGCCGAAGCTTCATGAAGTCTGTAAACAAAAGAAAAATTTAAAAACTAGGGCAGCATTTTTTCTAAATAATGGAAAAATTAAACGTTAAGTGTCAGGACATTCTTGGTAAGGAAGACATAAAATACTACTAGGATTACTTAAGCACATTAGTAGAACCATGGTTTATACTTTGAGGAAAATACGCTACAGCAAAAAAAGGTTTAAGAGAAAAATCCGTCCTTATAAGATGAGGGACTGAATTTGCCTCAACGCTATTATCACCAAACCAGTGGGAGTGTTTTGTCCTGTTCTGAAGCCAGCTCCTTCTCTTCTGTGACTAGAGCCAGCATCTCTCTCTCTCTCTCTCTCTCTCTCTCTCTGTCTCTCTCACACACGCGCGCGCGCGCGCGCACACACACACACACACACACACACACACACACACACACAGGATTTCCTCTTAAGTAAAGGGGCTGATGTGGTCAGGAAACAGAAGGTTCACTGACCATTCAGGGAGCCAAGCCCTGCGGAACAGATAAAGTGAGCAAATACAAGGTGTCAGGTAGGAGGTCTATACTCTAAGTCTGGAGTCCTCCAGAATAGGGGATGGAACGTGTTGGCTTCTGAAAGTCATCCCCTTGTCTTGATCAGTCCTTTGAGCATCAAGGAAGGAAGGCAGGAAGGCTAACTTGAAATTGGCTTCTGGCCAGCTAGTAGAGGGGGGGGGGGACTCCCAAGACGTGTAGCGACAGGAAGTCACGCTGTGTGCTCTTACGCTGCCATCAACGAGAGCTCAGATATTACCCTTTCGCGTGAAGCTGCTGATGTCTGATGAGAGTTGAACTCTGACTGAAGGCTTTCCCACAGTCGTTACATTTGTACGGCTTCTCTCTCGTGTGAGTTCTCTGGTGAATGATGAGGGAGGAGCTCCGACCGAAGCCCTTCCCGCACTCTCCGCACTCATGGGGCTTTTCTCCGGTGTGGATCCTCTGGTGTTCGCTAAGGGACGAGCTTCTGCTGAACACCTTCCCGCAGCCGCTGCACGCGTAGGGGCTGTCCCCGGTGTGCGTCCTCTGGTGCTCAACGAGGGAGGAGATCCAGCTGAAAGCTCTCCCGCATTCGCGACACGCGTACGGGTTCTCGCCGGTGTGTATGCGCTGATGCTGAATTAAGGTTGACCGGTCGCCGAAGGCTTTCCCGCACTCGTTACATTTGTAAGGTCTTTCTTGGGTGTGAGTTCGCTGATGCTGACTGAGGTTAGTGCTTCGGCTAAAGGCTTTTCCGCACGCACCGCATTCATACGGTTTCTCTCCCGTGTGGATCCTCCGGTGTAGACTAAGGTGAGTACTCCGGCTGAAAGCCTTTCCACACTCACCGCATTCGTACGGCTTCTCTCCAGTGTGAGTTCTCTGATGTTCGAGAAGGTGTGTGCTTCGGCTGAAGGTTTTCCCACACTCGTGGCATTCAAAAGGCTTTTCTCCACCATGAGTTCTACTGTGGACCATAAGGTCTGACTGGTAACTGAAGGCTTTGCCACATTCATTGCATTTACAGGGTTTCTTCTGTGGGAAGAGTTTTTGGTGTCTAATTAAGTCTGAATTGTCTTCGAAGTGTTTCCTAGATATGGGGGATCTAGCTCCCTCTGGAGTTTTCTGCTGGGTATTAACTTCTGAGCTCGGGCTAAATTCACTAGATTCGGGACCTCTCTCCCTCGTGAAAATTTCCTTGCGGGTCACTGACACTTTTCTGATCGCTGTTTTCCCAAAAGAAGATGTCTTCCGTACGGGACATTTTGTCTGCCTTGACAACTGGCCCCCACTTTTACAGGCTTCTTCATTCGTACGACCTTGGGCAGTCTTCCCTCTGAGACCTTCCATTGCTGACCCTGAAAACTCTATTCTTCGGCAATAGCCTGAATGGTGTTGATGCTTTGGCTCAGTTCAAATCTCCCTATCTGAAAGACATTTAAAGTGCAAACGTCACCTGCCTCACCTGCCTCTAGTGTGGAGACCAAGGGAAAGAAGCCATCAGGGAAAAAAAAAAAAAAGACAGCAAATTTGCAATTCACACCTAGTGTCAGCTTTCTACGGGGAGAAAATAAAAAGGGACAGTTGAAGGGAAGTGAACAGGGGCAGAAGAGCTAGCAGGCCGAGATCCTATAATAGGCATGGTGAGCACAGAGACATCAAGAAACAGGGGGAGGGAGGCGGGTACTATGCTGAGCCCAAAAAATGGAAATGAGCAGGTAGACCAGCTGATGAGCGGAGAGCAGGGCTTTGAAAGGAAAATGAGCTGTTAGTTACTGTAGCCGATGAGTGGTAGTAAATGGGAAGGAGGGAAGGGGTGAGAACAGACTCAGTGTAGAAGAGACCCCCTCTGAAAAAGCAAAAAGTGCAGGATGACTCTATCAAGCGTGAATGCAATCATTTTCTTGGCCCTGAGAGACAACAGGATTTAAGTAACTACAGCACTGCCACCGCCACGGGTCCCCCAGCCCTCCCTCCAACCGGTTAGGTGTTCTGAGCAAGTCTACTACCCGAGACTATCCGAGTTCATCTCCACAGAGGTCATCTAGGCCAGCTCACATCTGACAAACAGAAAGCAGACTGGGTAGCTTCAGTCACCTGGCGAATTACAAGAGCTTAGACTAGACCTGACGTCTCCTAAGTATCACATTGGCGGTCTTTTCAATGATATCACTCACCTAGACAGGGATTTTCGGTCACTGAAGATCCAGCATCCACCGCTGTCCTCCCTCCGACCGAATGACCACGTGCAGTTCACATGCTGGGATTCCGGCTGATGGGAAATGATGTAACACAGGGCTAGTCAGAGCTCGGTCTTAATGCTTCGATGTACAAAAAAGACACTGCCAACTTTCAGAGGCTGTGGCAGGAGGGGCTGGCGAAAACGGCTGTGTGACAGGAGCTAAAACTGGGCTCCAAAAGGTTATACACATCCGCATCAGAATCCCTTCTAGAGCTTGTTGCTCGAGATATCTTGGCTTTGCCTCAGGCCTAGCAGGTATGATATGGGGCCCAGACATTTGTATTTAGTAAGTTCTTCTAACTTAACAAGTAGAACTGTCCCCAAAGAACCTTAGAAACCTACTCTAAGTGGCCTGAGAAATGTGCTGGCTGAAACCAGCCTCCCCCCCTCCCGACATTCCTCACGTAGGAGGGTCTAGAACATAAGCTCGGCTTCCCACAGACTTCCTGCTGCCGGCAGGGCCGGCACTTCCCAAGGATCTCAAGGCTCCCAGGTACTAGGCGGCTAGCTTCTCAGACGCGCCTGTTAAACAGCCGGCACCCCACAGACTGCCTGGCACCAAGTGGTCTATTTACCCCCCGCCGACAGGGCTGTGCTTACACTGGCTCGTAAGGGAAGAGCGGCAAGGCCCTCTCCCGGGACGCTAACCCGTGCCGAGTGACCGGCGGAGCACCCCGGCTGCCACAACCTTCCTGCTGGGAAAATGGGAGAATGTGGGAATCTGCGCCTTTTCTTCTCCCCCATCTCTGGGCTCCCAAGTTTCCCCACTGAAGCTTTTTCTTTAAGCCATTCTCTCGTGGACTCATCTGGAGCCCCTGTGCTTGACAACAGGCTGCAAACCGTGTAACGGTCCCCCTAATGCTTCTGCTCACACATCTGCCGGGTTAGGAGATGATCTGGTTTCACAGGTATTTCCTTTCTCGTAGACCAGGAACCTCCCAGATGTGAAGGTGAATGGAGGACATCCACCAAGAAGTCATGCAGTGTGATGATGCCGTCTGTATCCAAGAGGGCTGCTGTCCGTATCCAGGGTGATGCCGTCTGTATCCAGCTTTGCCAAAAACCTGCCTTTCAGCTGGAAACAGGGAACACGGAAGCCCTACCACCAGGCTGAATAAGAGACTAACTTTTTTTGATCCTTGCGGCACAAATCCAGTTGCACACCTGATGCCTCCTCCCTTAACCGGACTTTGCCCCCCTTTGCGGCCCAGACCCTTTAGCTACTCTAGCATTACTTTGTTGGCGGTTGGTTCACTGCTACTTCTCTCTCTTATTACAGTAATCCTCCTCGGGAAAGTTTGGGGAATCGGTGAGCGTTTTTTGTTTTTTTCTTTTTCACTGTCCCGTTGACTGGATAGTGCTATTGGAATTTAGTGCAGGTCAGGGATAATGGGCATTCCTGCAAAACAAAAAATGTTCCCGATCCTGTGAGACTTTCAAAAAAGTTGTTAATAGTTACCTAACGCTGCTTTACATACAGATACAAAATATGTTGCGCAGCTTTGATATATATTGGAAAATTAAGGAAATACACTTCTTTTTCTTTGGATATTAGGAAGTGTTCACCATTCCAGGAAACTCCAACCACTCACGGTATTGAATTCACAGACGTGACATTGGTTTACCGGGCTGTATTTGTAGCTGTTGTCTTCACAGTGATTCTATAGATGCTGCCACCTACTTCATCCAGCCTTTAAGTGCTGCAATAGTACTATCCTAATAAGTTACTTTCCTTTATGTCATAGGTAACGTGTTGATATTCCGGAAGTTACATCTACAGGTCATTACTATTGTTTGTAAGTTTTACTTCAGGATGATGAAGGGGACGGCAGGTCTGAAAGGAGGAGAAATACTTCTCTAGCGAAATGGAACGAAAATGGTAACAGTTGCACGTGCGTGTCACAGCAGGTAAATCCCAAAGCCTCTAAAGCCAAGTCCTCGTCCCCAGCAGAAGCCCTTAGACATATGAGAGCACCCGCACGGCCACAAAGGTGATGTGGAAATGGGACTTCTGTCCGTAGTGGAATGTGACCACGTTATTACATATTGTAGTCCATCCTGGAGAAGAGACACTGTTGAGAAAATGTTTAGGTTTGGGGGGATTTGTTTAAGGTTTTCCCCTCAACCAGGAAGATCTGAAATTTGAAGATCTTTAAAAATTTTCTTAGAACCATGCAAACATAGGCTATCTAAAGTAAACAGAGTATCCTGAACAGAGAAAGAACTAGGACAGAATTCAAAGGAGATGGCCAGTTTGAGGTCAAGTGTCTCCCTCACACTCACTAATGCCTTGGCGGTTGGTACAAGGAGCCAGTGTTATATCAGGGCATCTAGAAATCAATTCATTTGTTCCGGTTGTACAAGTGTCGCCAAATGTAGTTGTTTTGGCATTTCAAATAAGCTCACTGCATGTGTAACTGTACCATGCATTTTACGTTTGTATATGTGGCATGTGTGACCGATACATAGAAACCCCACTGGGGAACGTTTCTACATTAAAAAAAGGAATTTGGGGGCACCTGGGTGGCTCAGTCGGTTAAGCGTCCGACTTCGGCTCAGGTCATGATCTCGCGGTCCGTGAGTTCAACCCCTGTGTCGGGCTCTGGGCTGACGGCTCAGAGTCCGGAGCCTGTTTCAGATTCTGTGTCTCCCTCTCTCTCTGCCCCTCCCCCGTTCATGCTCTGTCTCTCCCTGTCTCAAAAATAAATAAACATTAAAAAAAGGAATTTGGAGCGCCTGGGTGGCTCAGTTGGTTAAACATCTGGCTTCGGCTCAGGTCACGATCTCGCGGCTTGTGAGTTCAAGCCCTGCGTCGGGCTCTATGCTGACAGCTCAGAGTCTGGAGCCTGCTTTGGATTCTGTGTCTCCCTCTGTCTCTGCACCTCCCCCTACTTGCGCACGCGCTCTCTCTCTCAAAACTAAGACATTTAAAAACATTTTTTAAAAAAAGGAACTTGGGGCGCCTGAGTGGCTTGGTCGGTTAAGCGTCTGACTTCGGCTCAGGTCATGATCTCACAGTCCATGAGTTCGAGCCCCGCGTCGGGCTCTGTGCTGACAGCTCAGAGCCTGGAGCCTATTTCAGATTCTTTGTCTCCCTCTCTCTCTGCACCTCCCCTGTTCATGCTCTGTCTCTCTCTGTCTCAAAAATAAACGTTAAAAAAAATTTTTTTTAAATAAATAAATAAAATAAAATAAATTAAAAAAGGAACTTAACTTGGAAACTCTTGAGGTCTTTTGTGTCTGCTTATTGTGAGCATTTTTATGAATGTTGACTCATTTATGCCTCCCATCAGTGAGAGGGCTGCTATGATTATTCCCACAATACAACACAGGAAGAATTTGAGGTACAGAGAGGTTAAGTAATTGGCCCAAGGCCAAGTGATAAATGCTAGACTCAGACTCACTAAGGAGGAATGCCTCAGTTGCACTTTTTACTCCTGTGGCCCCTAAAAGGCCAAGAAACTAACCTCCACAGATACCAGGATACCAGCATGACCTTGACCGCAGAGCACCATGGAGGTTTAGAGAGTGCCTGCCTCTAAAAGGTGATCACCCTGAGAGGCTGCAGTAAGTCCCAAGCACGCTCAAGCCCTAACCCTGCAGCCTGAGGATCAAATCCGCCGGCGCACAGTGCAGGTGGCATCCTTGGCAGGAATCGGCAAAATACCAGATGGAAGCCCTGTGGTGTAAGCATTCACCAGGTAATCTGGAATTTGGTCACAGCTCTGTTGGTAGCTATATAAAAACCTGGGGAAAACCACCAATCTGGTTTTATGTCTCTCCATATGTCAAATGAAGATGTTAGACTTGATTTTGGTCCAAAGGTCTCGGATTCCTGGAGTTTAATTTTAGGTCCCAAACGCTAAGGGACACTGTCTGCCTAGACTAAGGGGATGAGACTAGAATGAACCTTGTCTTTTTCAAAGCACCAGAGAAATGTGAGAGCCTAAGGTCCATGTGTCAGATGAAACCATTCAAGAAACAGGCCAAGAGGCTGTGTTCTTCAATCACCTGAGGACGAAACAGAGCAAAGGAGTGGAGAGCGAGACATTAAGGACGGTCGGCAGGCAAACAATGGCGAGTCCCATCCGGGGCAAAATTGGGCAGAGTCACCTGAAGGAAGTTCTTGAAAAGAGAAATAAATGTATCCCCTGCTTGGTGAGGTGACAGACGTTCAGAAAAGAATCCTTCCCTTACATGGGCTGTAGCTCTTCTAGTAGGACAGACAGCTGCCTTTCCCTCTTCTACTTCCTCCTGGCTTTCTGTTTGTCCAAAAGCAAAGCTGGCAGAGGTCTTCTCCTGGGCAGCCAGAACCACTGGTCTAGCAATGACCACCTCTGGCTAGCTGAACACAACCTTAAGGGTTACGAGGTAAAACAAATGCCTAAAAGCAATCCTTCCTCCTCCCAGAGACAGAAACAGGACAATACACACGGATGTCTGACCTTAAGTCCCTAATTCTTTAATGACCAAAGGTAAAGGAGGTGGATCTGGGCCAAGCCTAGACTCTTCCTAAACTCTCTAGGTGAATGGAGGCATATAATCCAGCCTCTCTGTCAATTTCCTCACACGAGGGTGTGAGCGACGGCAGTCTCTTACTTCCTCCTGGGGATCAATACAGAAGGCAGCTGCCACGTTTCTCCACCATCACAGGGCTGTGCATCCCTGGGCGGGTCACTCGCCTTCCTGAAAATCTGGTCCCACACTGTAAAACGGTGTAACTACTACCTGCTTTTCTCACAAAGCTTCTGTTAATGTTACAAGTTAAAAGGTAGCAAAGCATTTATAATAAGGAATATCAGACACAACATAAGGAGACATACCTCAAATGAAGTAATTTTAAAATTGTGCTGGTGCACACTTAAGGGAAGTTGCTCTCAGGGGCACCTGGGTGGCTCAGTCGGTTGAGCATCCAACTTCGGCTCGGGTCACGATCTCGCGGTTCGTGAGTTCAAGCTCCACGTCGGGCTCTGTGCTGACGGCTCGGAGCCTGGAGCCTGTTTCGGATTCTGTGTCCCCCTCTTTCTCCACCCCACCCCTGCTTGTGCTCTGTCCCTCTCTTTCCAAATGAATAAACATTAAAAAATAAATAAAAAAGGGAAGTTGCTCTCAGAGAACTGGTGAGGTCCCCTCCAGCGGCTGCTGCTCTAGAGCCTGGACAGATCCCGGCTTTGGAGGATGCACACCAAGGCATGACTGGGCTGTGTGACCCAAGTCTCAGGGAGGAACCCCCAGATTTCAGAGAGGGCAGGTCATTGGATCTCCCCAAGGTTAGGGCCATGCCCTTACCCAGATTTCCCTCCAAGGGATTTCGCGACCATAGTGTGGGAAGTCGCCTTTCCCTTTCTCCTTCCTCCTTCCTTCCTCATCCTCTCCTTTTCTCCTTTTTTTCTCCTTTCCTCCTTCCTTCCTCATCCTCTCCTTTTCTGGATCACCTCCCTGCTTCATGGATCCTGCATCCCTTCCAAATCCTTTTCTCAAGCAGAGCAGTCACAAGCGCCCCAATCTTCCCAGCGCTGGCCACCTCCTGTTACCCTAACCATCCGAAATTCTTCTGCCCATGCCACTTCTTCTTAGAATCAACTTGGAATCCAGCAAGAAGGCTCGCTTAGCTCTGCTCCCTTCAGTGTTAAAAATGTATGTCATTCGGAAGGAAGCCGGTTCGGAAGGTTCTGGAACAGCTCTTCTCCAGGTGCTCTGTTTTGTAGTATTTCAGCTGGACCGCTTGCTGGAGTCTTTGCCAGCGCGCAAAGGAATCGGCACGAGGGTCCGGGCAGCCTCAGTTCAACCCTAGAACGGGGGCGAAGTCCTGAGACCGACTGCAAGATGGTCTTCAGGCAACAGCGTTCGGGAAAATCGGCTCAAAATAATAGCAGATCACACGATTCGATGCACAGAATTTGTCAATACCTCCACCAATTAGTAAACTACCATATTCAAGTACCCACCGTCACCATCGGAACCACAAAATGGGGACTACTACTCACAAGATCTGTAACGTCATGGAAGGTGCTTCATCTCTGTGCCTCAGTTTCCTCATCTGCAACATGGGAGCAAGAACAGTGCATGTCGCGGGGTTAATGCGAGGATAAGAGGAGTCGGTCCAGGTGGAAAAACGCTTGGACCAGTGACCGGCACACGGCAAGCACCGGGGACAACCCGGTCGCCCGGCTGAGCCCAGAGGGGAGCGGAA